ACTCCTGTCTATGTATCTTTCATAGAATTTGAAAGGCATATGACAGCATTTACAGGGAAATGTTGCTTTGAAAAATCTGCGACCTAGGTCTTCTTCTTAAAGTGAATTAACAAATGATAGTATTGGTGGCGGCCCCACTCTACCTCCCCCCACCGGGAGCTCTGGCTCTATTGTCGGGGAGATAAAAAAAATGATACTATATATCCTACATGCATTTTCTACATAATTAATGGGGTGGGAAAGGAGTGGGAGGATGAAACGATTAATATTTAATATTAAATATAGGAATTGGCGACCACAATGACAGTAACGTCACCTAAATTTGGAGTGGGTTATTCGAAAACGGGGCTCGTGGAGTAAATCAAAAAAAAAAAAAAAAAAAAAAAAACCCAAAAAAATTAGTGCTACAGGATTTTGGGAATTTCCTAAAATGGACCGACTTTCAAAGACATGCATTCGCTGACCCCATAAAACTTCGTGTAAAACTTTAAATATTTTAACGTACATTTGGCCGTTCTTTTCATTTATATGGGTTTTCACTTATGAAAATGGGTCAATTATGTGTAAAATAACAGTTTGCCTCAGTTTTTATTTCGTGAATTTTGCACTAGACAAGGAGTCAGCTGATTCACTCAACAGTAACGAGCTGGTAACGATACAGCTAACTGATGTGAATGGTCGTCGCGAGGGAAAGATTGACACTGGCGAAAATATTCCATAATAATGATAATAATAATAATAATATATAAATCGATTGCATTTTTGAAGAATAAATCTATCAAAAAGATATGTCTGCTGTTTTGGATAAGGAAGTCTTGGATGTGGTGATCTTAAAGGTAGCGTTAAATAGGTTTGTTACCAACTTGTCTTACCCAGGAAACAGTGAAATTAATGTCACTGTTCTCTGATATAATAAACAAAATACACTTAATAAATACATAGGCCTATACAAACGAGACACAAACGCAAATAATATGGAACGCTACAAAGAAAAAATAACACAACAAACTTCATTTGGGATACCGTATTATATTGTCATGAGGCCTACTCCAACTTTTTAACGATACAATTACCACCTGTATTAACAGTTACTTTCTGTTTAAAAAGTTAAGTAAAGAGCCAGTAAAATACAATCACCCTCGATGACTGAGGTTATTGCCAGATCAATTCGCAAAAGAAGATAAACTATATGCCAACTATCGAAGAAAAAAAAATCCCACTGAAAACAATAAAAATAAGTATAAAAATATATAAATAAGCTTAGTATTTTACCCGTAAACTAAAAAAGGGATTTAACTTTGAGAAATTTAATAATTGTAAAAATGATTTAAAGAAACATGGAATACATTAAATGAAGTACTAGGCAAAAATACTATTAAGAATATACCCACCACCCCCATTATATCACGCAATACAGATTCATATACAGTACGACTCCAGTACAACAAGCCTACGCTTATTATTTCACAGACATTGGGCAGTCTCTTGCTGATAATTATTATCAATTCACCCCATGATCCGAAAACCCATCTCACTGGAAACTACCAAAGTTCAGTGTTTTTAAAGCCAGTCACGGTAGATGACATAATATTAATAATATTTCACAACTTAAAAGTTCTACCTCCCTCTTCAGTAATTGATGAAATTTCCCCAAAATTGATCATACCTCAATTATCCTATTTTCTCCTCCCACTTACCCATCTTGTCAATGTATCGTTAACCACTGGTGGTTTTTCCGGATAAAAGTGTCAAAAGTTCTTCCAATTCAAAAAAGGCGATAAAATTACTCTTATAAATTATAGGTCAATCTCTATTCTGCCGTTTTTATCAAATATTTTTAACGAGTTGTTTATAAACAAACAGTATCCTGTCTCGATAAGAAGAATATTTTAATTAGCTCACAATTTGGATATAGACCTAACCACCACACAAGTCATGCAATGCACTCTTGCAAACTATGGAACAAAGTACCTCGGTCATTGATAAGGAAAATTTCACTATTTTGGATTTTCTTGGACTTGTCCAAGGCATTTGATACCATTTACTATAATATTTTGTTTTTCACATGCTTACCCTGAGAAAGTCACAAAATTCCCTACCTGGAATTTCCTCCTTGGAGCAATAAAGTGTATCTTATCTTAAAATGTAAACTTCTTAGTATCGTTTTTCATGAATTTATCAAATTTTGTCACTAAATGAATATGATTACATTAAAAATGTCAAAGATTATTGAAATTACTAATAGACTTTAGCAGTATGCCATTTAATATATTACTTACCATTTATAAATAGTAAGGTATGGTATCGAGGCATGGGGATCCATCTACACTACATACTTAGACAAAATCCATAAACTACAAAAACAAAACAAAAGATAAAACTAGTGATTGAGCATGGACCTATCTCCATTTTTTTAGTATTACGCGTCTGACATACATGGAAATCAAAGACTTGTTCTGGACTTTCACGTACACACATGTCGCATAATTTTATAATAATAATATAACAAAAACTTTAATATGAATTAATCATATATATTGTATGTACTATATAACATGTATGTTCCGGTGAATCATGTATTTAATGTAACTTTGTGTGTGCTCATACGATCTGATCTCTTCCAATAGACCGCTGACATACATAATCATGTCAATGCCCCCTTGGACAATGCCGTAGCCAGAATTTTCAGTAGTAATATTAAGTTGTCTAATTTTACGCAAAAATATGCATAATATGGACCACTTTTCTTAAAAATTGACACATTTTACGCAAAATATAATGTGGAAACATTTTCTAAAAATGGTCACCATTTATGATCCATGTGTATATAACCACTCGACAGGTTCACACTGAAAACGTAGGGTTTGGCAACCAAGACCATGTTGACCTGTTCTTTAATGGCACATATATAATTATTATTGCTGTGAAAATGGCAGCTATTTTTAAATTCAAGATGGCTGCCATTTATGGTTCGTGAGAATATCACCATTGGATAGGTTGACATTGAAACATAGGGTTTGCTACCAAAATGAAAACGATACCTACTCTAATAGCACAGTTATTGGTATTTTACTTCCAAACTGCCAGCCATTTTGAAATTCAAGATGACCGCCATTTATGATATGTGGGAATATCACTATTGGACAGGTTGACATTGAGAACATAATGGTTTGGTACCAAAATCATGTCGATACCTACCGTACTCTAATTTCGCAGTTATGGTTACTTTTACTGTAAAAATGGCGGAAATTTTGAAATTCCAAAATGGTCACCAAGACAATATCGGAAAAAATGGACCCTTGCATTATTTAGTTCAGCATACTAAAAGTTTCCGGAAAATGTAATAAAATTGCTTTGGGCAAGCTTATCTCGCGAACCTGTTTTTTAATCATTATGTTTCTCACTGCAAAAACTGCAAGCTGATTGTTAACCCTCACTCTGTTCTGTATAATCATAAGCCTTGGTATTGTTGGCAAACATGTTTACTCCGGATTTAGCTAGATATTTCAGGTTTAGCATTTACATTATAATTTCCTTTGCTTTTTTATAATATTTATTATTTATTATAGCAAAAGTGAATTGGTTCTATTTTTCAAAGGCATTAACCATGGTTATTCCTTCCTTCTCAATGACAGAATGTCGGGCTACAACCTCAGTAAGCCCTTGGCTTATCCATGCAAGGCCTACTCTCTTGAACCATGACTGCAGTTATGCCACTTGCACTTGCATCATTGGCTTTGTAGTAAGCAAACATGGATCATTCGAGAATTAAAGCAAATTCTATGTTTACCATACTTTGTTGAAGCAGCAGACATCTTACTTACACATTGGCTAGGTTTACTAACTTTTTTAATCAGCTTTCACTAAACTTTTGAGTTATCTTGTTATCTTGCAGCCTTAATTATAGGTCTAGCATCATCCGAAATGTCCAAATTAACAGGTTATTCCGACTGATTAAAACTGTTATGATACCTTTTTTTAATATGTACTATGTACTCCATAGAATTGTAATTATTGTTATTAGCCCCATTTTTCAGCTGCATTTTTACCTTCTTTAATAATTAATTGTAATTTAACTGTTCCCTGTAAAACAATGTTGCGTGTGGGAATGAGTTGTTTCTTTAGTAGAGGCCGTGGTTTTAAACCCTCACTTTGCACTTTGTATGCCTTAGTGGACGTATGGCATTACTTACCGCTGTGTAGTCTACCCAGCTGTTTCAAAGGGCACTAGTGAACTTAATGGAAGAACCGCCTAAGAAAATTATGATAGGTCTCTAACACTCTTAAAAAATTGTCATTTATTTACATTATTTTAGAAGACGGCCCATAATTAAGGGTCAAGAAAATAAAAATGCATTATAGGTTTATGGTTGTATTTAACCTCAGGATTTAGATTTTTGACTTGATTTCCACGAAAATAACCTGTTAAAGTTCTTTTTTTAACACGTTGGTTGCCAGCGACGAGTATACTCGCTCACAGGGTGTTGCTGAGGGCGCCATGAACGAGTATATTCGTCAAATCGGGGAAACATTCCAGCGTTTATAACTTCTTTATTATACATTGTAGAACCACAGACTCAACGGCTGGTAGTTCGGGGAAGATACACCTAGACGATAACGTACAAATGACATATATATGTCTGTTGTGTTATTTTGCCGGTAGTACACTCGAGCGGTACAAGTGGGGGCGCCCTTTGAACATATACCAACCCATGCAAAAAGCGGACGAGATAACTCGCACTTGGCATAGTCTGTAAAAAGTTCTATCACAGTGCCATCGACGAGTATACTCGCCCCCTAATATTTTCCCGCCAATTTATTAGACACTTCATTTTGATGACATATGACTAGATAAAATTTAAAAAAAGCATGTTTGTACATGTAAACTTGTTTTGGCACACGGGAAGGAACCTTAAAAAAAGGTCTGGTAGTCAACGTGTTAAAACCAAATACCTTCTGTAGAGTGTTATTACGTTGGCAATAAATACAAAAACAATAACTTTACATCTACTAATTTATTAACAACAATTTTAAATTAAATCATTAAATATAATTTGAACAGTAACCTCTATAACTCTATTTATGAAGATCAAATTAAATGATCGTCCAACCCACAACTAACCAAACCATCATTGATTCATTCGATTACCAATCAATCAATCAGTCATTATTCTATCAATCAATCATTCAATCAATCAATCATTCAATCAATCAATCAATTAATCAGTTCATTCAAAAAATTAAAAGTCAAAGTACGGAGGAAAACAAAATAATTTTATGTTCTGGAACAGATTTTTCTGAGACAGAAAAAAAAAATGATGGTTCAACCCACAACTAACCAAACCATCATTGATTTATTCGATTACCAATCAATCAATCAGTCAATCATTCAATCAATCAATTAATCAGTTCATTCAAAAAATTGAAAGTCAAACTACGGAGGAAAACAAAATAATTATTATGTTCTGGAACAGATTTTTCTGAGACAGAAACAAATAATCTGAGGAACGTTAAAATTCATAGAATACAGATTTTTAAATAATTAAAATCTGGTATAAAATGTGTAGATAAGGGTTACACCCTTTTCACTCAGTTTTTAATATTCAACAATCTGTATCTCATTTACCGGCCGTTCCCCAGTTTTTCGTAAAACAACTTTTTTCTATCTAAGAAAAATCAGTTCAATATCACACATTTTCTTTCGGCGAATGACTTAAATTTCACAATTACCGTATGATTTTTACTTCCCAATTATGTGAATTTTTTCATTTCCAAAAGGCAGACTACAGAGTACAACGTGCAAAAATCTAATATTGTAGAATTTTTTTTGTTGCTTCTTTAAACTACTCCACAGTTTGTTATCCTCGCTAATTTAAGTCAATTTTAATTATTTAAAATTAGTAATCAAGGTACATGAGTAATTTAAAAAAAACCAGTTGAACCTGTCCTAAGATTGACTATTCATCAATTTTCTTCTGTGGTTTATAAAAGCCCCTTCGTTTTGCAGCTTTAGTCGCCTTCCACTATATCGGCTGTAAATAAAAATAAGTAAATAAATAAGAACGAAATACATTACATAATTGTTTATTTTGTTGAATTAGACAGTATTATTTCGATGAAACGAATAAATTTACTTACCGAATGCAAAGCTGAATTTAACAGTAAGAAGGAAGATTAAAGTAATTTGAAACATCAGTTAACACCTCGAAGTTGTTAAAATTTTCAAGGGACAATGTTTCAACTGCAAGTAAAATTATAATTGAAATTGTGAGTGATAACAAACTTTATCGTTCTCTAGTGTGGCAAGGAATAATGGAACGAACCGCAAAATTTAAAAAATAGCAGAGTGCTCCAAGATAACAATAATACATACATATACATTAGAGATATGTATACACACACACACACACACACATATATATATATATATATATATATACATATACATATATATATATATACATATATATATATAATAAAAAGTAGTTTTTTTTGTAGTTCTGTTTACAATAAATTCTCTCACCCACCCAAGAAACACTTAATGTGTTTAACAATGTTTAAAGACAATTATTTAGAAATATATACATATATATATATATATATATATATATATCATTGTAAATCATATATGTATATGTGTGATAGCACATTTAGATGCATGATATGAACATATATTTCTCAATAATTGTCTTTAAACATTGTTAAACACATTAAGTGTTTCTTGGGTGGGTGAGAGAATTTATTGTAAACAGAACTACAAAAAAACTACTTTTTATTATAAACTAAAATCAATTTAATAAGAGCATTTTAATTAAAATTCAAAATGTGAATAAAGGAGGAACCCACAACTTATACGTCATTCTAAATATAAAATTAATTGCAGCTTAATTTTCCAAAAATCATTATATTTTCACTTAAATTGGTTTCTCTAAAATTATTACACATTGCGTAGCTCTTCCTTGTGCGATCGGGAAAGCTAGCCAGTTCTATCAACAAGTTAGAAAAAATCTGTTACAATTTTATGGAAACGGGCTTACCGGGTGCTCCATTAATGTCTTCTGTACCAATAAATGCTCCTCTAGTTGGTAGACACCCGTCATTGGTATATCCACGTGACACCGTTCCATTTAACGTTGGAAACTGCGAGTCAAAACTCCACCTATTAACTAGCACATCGCCAGGGTTATTGATTTGGTCGCGATATTGTGCATTACCTATTAAAATATATAAACATTCTAACTGATTAGTAAATATTATATTATTTAATATATAATTCGGGCCTATAATTTAATGATGTGATAACCATTTTTAATTCCTAATAATATGATCGTAAAAGAAAGTAGAATTCATTTTTTTAATCCATTTATAAAAGTATTAAATATTATATTAAATTTTAAATATATAGTTTTCAAAATAGTGTGAATATATACTGAACTTGACATTAAGTTTTATAGTATTTACTTCAATTCAGTCCAATAAGACCATTTATAAATCGCCTTTCTTTGGAGATAACTAAGCGCTGCACCCATTAGGCACCTCACAACCCACATGCAGGAATGATCATTGCCTAACTCAAAGCAAAAATACAAGTAAACAAATCGAAAGAAGCAGTGGAAAAGTTTAGAATCATAAATAAAAAATGCAACAATAAATGAAATAAAAATAAAAATGACGCTAATTAAAGAGGTAAGTCTGTAAGTTAGACCTTAAGACAGTCACAGTAGGTAAATATTGAATGTGCACTGGGAAGGTTATTCCAGATGAGTGGCACCTCGAATATAAATTATTTGTTGCCAATACGCTTGTTAAATATAGGTTAATAAAAAGTAATGTTCAAAGCCGATCTGGTACGAATTTGTTTTTTACGTACAAGTAAATAGTGCACGAACGGCAGCATGAGAAGTGCCATAGTCGACAAATTTTCAAATCCTCCATAAGTCAAGAATAAATGTACTTGGTCGATTTACAAATAAACTAAACTTGATTGGACAATGACAACGCGGAATCGAATGTGACACCAAAAGATTTTTTACCAATTTAGTGGGTAAAACGTTAAGTTCTTCAAGCGACAGAAATGTGATCAAGCTTTAAGTGTCTCTTGAAAGCACATGCAATGAATTCTGTTTTGTTAATATAAAGTTTAAGATTATTACACCTTACCTGGAATACACCTCATCGGTGGTTTCTTTCCCCATGGCAAATGCGTTCTCTGACACGTTTGTGCAACAGGATCAATAGTCCATGTTAAATTCTACAAAATAAAATGAGCATTATGCACCGCCTATTTCTAAAAGGAGCAAAACATAAACCTGTGTCTTATATCAATATAGTTGAATAACCGTTTTGAATTGTTATTGTTAACGGACCTTTTAACGTCACAACAACACTGTTTTCAGTGACCTAACGCTTGAGGCAAGGGTCCTATGACTTTATCAGTGATCCCAGTCTTTTTTAGGACTCGGTCGCCAATTCATTGTGAGATTTTAGATATGCTTATTTTTTAAATATGTTTGCCACAAAATTCTATGTGTTTTAACAGATGAATAAATTATATGATATCATTGGCGGATCCAGGAATTTGAAATAGAAAAGGCCCGTCTGTACCACCTAAGCGCCATTATAGTTGGGGCTGAGGCGAGGAAATTTTTGATTTTCTTACCTTACCTTACTAAATGGCAGGAAATTCTTCTCCTCTCAGACTTTAAGATTAATAATTTTCTTTTTATATGTGGCTTTCTGAGACACCCGGGACCTTTTTGATTTTCGTTCGTTAATCGGAGTGGTAAGAGAGGGGGAATTTAATTAATTTCTGCCATTGTGTTTTAACGACGAAAACGATATAATATGAATGGCGGATCCAGATATTTTATTTAGAGGGGTCTATTTCACCTATGGAAAAACCGCCTCCGTCTCACGGTGGTT